TTATTATCAATAATAATATTCAAAACTAATATCCAATGTATACTTTACTTTTTCTTATGTCAAATATGATCTTGTTCATAATATAATAACGTGGCTATTATTATTATTATTATATTAACTTTATTTTTGTGTTACTGTTAGTAACATTAAATTGATTAATACACACATCAACTGCCATACTGTTACATGGGTTTAACTTTAGTACATTTCTTAGAAGTAAAAGTTAAGTCTATAGTTCTAGTTAATATTATTATCAATAATAATATTCAAAACTAATATCCAATGTATACTTTACTTTTTCTTATGTCAAAAATATCATATTCATAATATAATAACGTAGCTATTATTATTATATTAACTTTATTTTTGTGTTACTGTTAATAACATTAGATTGATTAATACACACATCAACTGCCATACTGTTACATGGGTTTAACTTTAGTACATTTCTTAGAAGTAAAAGTTAAGTCTGTTGTTCTAGTTAATATTATTATCAATAATAATAATATTCAAAACTAATATCCAATATATATTTTTTTTTGAAGAACTGACATTCAACGATTCATTACACCAAAGTTTTCCACAAACTAAACTTAAACTGTTGAAGTAAAATATTCGTAACACCTATCATTTAGTATCAACAAACGTTAACAATCATGTTCGAATTCGATGACGAGGAACCCACTTTGAGACTAATAATGGTTGGAAACGGCTTGAATGGGTAATGAAGAAAAAAATTAATACAAGTTTAAAATAACAGCAAATGTACAACGTTTCGACAAGTGCACCTGATGATGACAAAACCTTGTCGAAACGTTGTACATTTGCTGTTATGGTAAACTTATATTAGTTTTTCTTTATTACCCATTCAAGCCGTCTCCAACCATTGCTAATCATGATTTTATTTTCAACTTAGGTCCTTAAAAGTTTAAAAATAAAAGTTATAAGTTGTTAAATTACAGTAGTTGCTTCAAAATCAAAGTTGCTAACGACGTTAAGTTTAACTTTTTAAGTTTAATCTTATTCTTAGGCCTATGCTCATGTTCTATTTAAATAATAATATGCGTTCAACATAAACAGTGGATGTTGTCGATTTCAAGATACTTACGAACCAGTACATCAGGGAAAATGATGATATATATTATATTCCTGAGGACCATCAACATAATGTTACCAGATTACCACGTTTTCCTTCAGTTTTTGGAAATCCACCGATGTTTCCGTAATTACTAGTTTACTACGAATGTTGTGAAACACAACACTTCTTTACGTTCAGGTAGCTTAGACTGTATCTCTGCGGCGACATCTAGTAGTCTAAATTGCAAGCTTTATCGCAAGCTATTAATACATAAGTAGAGAGAGAGAAACAAGAGGCTAGGAAAAATTTAAGAAAAATATATTTAGATAAATTGTAATATCACTTTTACAACAGACAATGTATTTTTTATTTCTTAAATTCTTTCACACTACAGAGTATAACTTAAAAGTTATGGGTAAAAACGTCCAAAAAAATGAAAGAAACAGTCGCTTTAAAATGAGATAGTTTCGGTAGAAAGTAATATCGAAAAATAGCTTGAAATGACGTTACCTGGAGCATTAATTTTTAAAAACGTGATCAATACAAAAACAAAAAATACAAGTCAGTATTTCTTCAAGACGAGCTTTGGGTATTCTTGCTAGAAATAAAACAAATGCATTTAAATAGTTTAGTTAATTAAGTTGAAGCCTAAATTTAATAACTAACATTATTATTGAAATGTTTTAGTGTTCTTTTGAAAAATATCCGATTTTGTCCATGGTTGCACGAGATGCCACTATGCACTAGCACATGAGGCTCGTGCCCTGAATCCTCAGCTGATGCCATGAAAAATTGGAATAAAAAACCATGATCGATATCCCACTGAAACACCGAAAATCCCCGTGCCTATGGCCCCGAGCCCCGAGTCTTTTAAGTACCTAGCCACGCATCTGAATTGGTTCTTGTATATATCATTTTATTAATTATTATAACTTATTATTTTTAATACGTAGATGATTGAATAAACAATAAGTTAAAATCGAAGAATTTGCAATAATATGAAATTAACTATTAAAATGAATTATATTTGAGGCTTATCAAAACAAATTAAATAAAATGTATAGATTTTTAAGACAATAGTGCCTCTTAGCTGCCGCCTAGTGCCTTACTCATAACGCTACAAATTGGGTTTCGATGCTCGTCGTGGACACAGCACAGATAGCCCATTGTGTAACTTTGTGTTTCACTCCAAACAAAATAAGTCTCTTAGCTTAAAACAACACATATAACCTGAAGGGTTTTAACCTTATGTGGACTGTCAGCAGAGAACTTGCTATACTTTTGTACCGTATTCTATTTGGACGGATTCTTTCGAATTATCTGATAAAAATAATGCCAAATCCAGTCCATGTAACGATAGCGAATTAGTTTATTTCTTGTATAACGTGTCTATAGGCTAAGTACACTTTAACATAAATTGTAGACCTAAGTTCGCAAACAACGTTGTAACAGAAATTCATGAAACTAATGGTACTTACGTCTTAACACACAGAAATAAAAACTTATATAACATTTTTGCTGGTTTGTGTGAGTCTTGCATCATGTCATATTGCCTGTGTAATGTACTCCACACACACATATACACTTTTGAGAGCCTAATGAAGCTTACACTAAACGGGTTACAATGGAAAAGATGCCTAGTCTATGTTGAGGATGTTTTGACATTTCGCTGCATGTTCGAGTCTGCTGCTGAAAACCTGAACATGGTACTTTAGTGGATAGATGCAGACTTGAAATTGAAATAAGGGACATGTGGGCTCATGCACACACAGGTAAAATTTATCAGTCATATTGTAGGTAAAGATTGAATCTTTACTGTTTCTCCAAATATCCCAATGGTGTGGACTGCACTCAACCTGTGACCAAACGAAAAGTCCAAGGTTTCCTTAATTTTGCATCATGTTACCAAAATCTTGTGGCTGAATTAACCAAGATTGTCACATTATGATCTGCTCTCACTAAAGCTTATGTGCGTTTTAAATCAACTAAGGAGTATGAACAAGTATACCTATCACTAAAGCATGCTTCAATGTAAGCTACAGTATTGGTATAACAACGACGACTATGAATCCTTGTTGGATATTGATGCCAAAAATGGTGAAATCGGGGGGAGGGGAGTTTTACTAAAGCATGCTTTAGTTGAAGCGCCAGTATTGGCATATCTATGACGATACTATATTTTTTGTTTGTTTTTTGTTGGTTGCTGATGCTAGCAATTGTGGAATTATTAAATTAGTTAAAGCTCCAGCATTGGCATATCCATGACAGAACTTTAATTCTTGTTTGATAATGATTCCAGTGATAGTGAAATCAAGGGAAGTATTATCACAGTTACAGGATGGAGTAGAATATTGAAATGTGTATTCTAGTCATCCAGATTGCTTTCAGACACAGTTTTCATCAAATACTTTCGGTATGGTAGAAAGTTTGAGTGGAACATGCATTGCTGAAGTGGCTTGTGAACTTTAAACCATCAAGAAGGAATGCCTACACATTAGATCCCAATGCTGCAGAAGTATGACTTTATTGTATTATCTCATCCATGCCAACAACGTGGAAACATGGATGGATTGTCTTGTTGTATAGTGAGATTGTCCATCCATTGAATGTCCTGAGCCTAAACATCATGTGTAAGTTAAAGCCATTTCTGCTATAGCGATATTGGTGTATATGGTACGAGATTCCACTAATGGTTGGATACAATTAATGCTTCAGGGGCTCTGGGAAGAGCAACTGATGTACCTAGATCTAGTGTTGGTGTTCTTTGCCATGTAGATACATGAAACATGACAAGCACATATTAAAGAGCTCTGTGCAAATATACGTAAGCTGTGGCACTTATACAACCAACTATGAATACAGGAAGGTGTCTAGTACAGTTGTTATCAACCATTGAAACAGATTTCTCAACCTGTGTTCAGCTATTGAACCCCAGCGTTCGTAGGCAAAAGATTCTTCAGACTTTGCATAATGCAAAGACTGGGTCAACAAGGTCTTACACGAATTTCTGCTAATGTTCAACGGCAGTTTTACTTATCGCATTCGAAAAAGCCAACTAAAACATGATAAACTCCAGCAGATAATTGTTGGGTCTTCTTTACAGAAATTGAACGAGGCAGTCAGTATGTACTTGCAGATTACTTCACCGAGACACATCTATTGATCTATACTTCAGCGCAGTATGTCACTGATGTGTTGGCACACTCAGAGAAGTTCACAGGGAGCTGATTCTAATATCCAGTAATTTTCTGACTTGTGTAAAGTGGTTTGAGTGGGGAAAATACACACTTCGCCTTATCACCCCTAATTTGATGTTTTAATCGAATAGGCAGTGAAAGCTATCAGTTGTTTGCTTGTAAAGTTTATTATTCTCAGCAGAACTAACTGTTGTGAACATTTGCCATACGCCATGATGGTACATTGCTCAACAGAACATGTGTGTTTGGGAAATGCTGGTCCCTCTAGATAAGATGTACAGTCTGTTCCTTAGATCACGTGTGCCACAGTGTCCACAAGAATATATTTGCAAAAAAAAGTGTTAGTAATAAGCAACACTCGGTTTGAGCATAATCTCAGATATCTATATATTTGGAGATAACCACAGAATGGCGAAATAATTATGAGAAATTAGTTAGATTACATTTTAGTTAAATAACAATTCAAAAATTCTATTACAATAGATATAACTTATCGAGAGGCAGACTGTAGCTCTTATCACAACCCAGTGGTACAACAAATAAGATTAAAACTGAAGAAGCTGATTAAAGCAGCCTCACGCAAGGTAAAATGGAACTTACAACAATTTAGAAAAAAAATGATCAAGGACTTTGTGAAAAAGACTAAAAACCGTTTTGAAATATTAATCAGAGAAAAAGTTACAAACAAAGATATTGGGCTTGTTTAAACAAGAGTTACATGAAACACGAGATAAAATTGTGGGGAAAAGAAGAAGTGATTTAAAACAAAATCAGGATGAATTGATGAGATTCCAAAAAAGATAGACAAAAATGGAAATAACTACAAAGAGGTGGCAGAAATATAGTAAAGTAGATAAGAAAGTCAGATGTTTGAGCAAACAAACAAAAAATTTGTATTTGAACAAGAAATGTACAGAAATTGAGAAATGTGAAGTAACACATAATATGTCTCAAACGTATAGAAGAACAAGAAACCTAATCTGTCTTATTGTGACACATCAAAAGTAATGTCGGCTACATACTTTTTTGAAATTGAAGATGAAAAGCTTTATTGATGGCATGGAAGCGAAGCTAGCCCTATATGCAGTAAAACTAATTAACAGTGGCCCCAAAATTCTGCAAGAGGAGACATAGGAAGTTTTACAAGTTTAAAAATGGAGAATTTGTGACATAAACGAGATTTCAGCAGAAGTTTTAAAGCAAATAGAAATTGTATGGATTAAATACTTGACTGCAATTTGTAACTCAATTTTCAAATGACAGACAATTCCAATACACTTTAAAAGATCTGCTTTTGTGTGATTCCCGAGGCTATGAAATGTGGCTACTATAGGACTACCAGATTGATTAATTACACCTCAAAGGTATTGCTAAAATCCGAATTTAATGGGGATCCTGCATCAGTTTGGAGTAGACCAAGCAGATCTCAAAATTCCAACGAATTTATACTGGAGTCAGATAGCAACAGTCAAAAATGATGGAGAACTAAAGAGTTTGTTTGTAGTGTACGACAAAGACGTATACTGCCAGTGTCATTATATAAATTGTATGCAGATGTAAAGTGGTTGAGCTGTGAGGTAATTAATGATACAGTAAGAATCAGAATTAATGGAAATATAGTTCGTGATAATGAGCATTCTTGTGATACAGCATTTATGGATGAATCTGGGGAACGATACAGTGATTATTTCACAGACTTGTTGATAAAATGAAAGACTTAGAATAAATGTCAACAAAACTAAGACAATGGTAGTTTCCCAATATAAGGAAATTCTCGAAAATCTCATCAAAGTAAAAGGCAAAGAATTGGAACAAGGAGAAAATAGGATTGACAAAATCAGCATTCTTCAATCTCAAATAATTGCTCAGGAGAGACGACAACTTAGAATTTATGAACATACTGCTCAAACGTTACATATGGTCAGTCACACTCTAAGTGTAAAAATGGATCATGTCTACTGAAACATAATAGCATTTAGAAGCATTTGGAATGTGATATTATAGACGAATG